TAATAAAGAATTAATTAAATGAAATCTCCGACGATTCCGAGATAATCAGATAGAACAGCAGCAGCAGTAACAACAGCAGCAGCAGCATCAGTAGCAGTAGTAGCAGTAGCAGCAGCAGCAGTAGCAGTAACAACAGCAGCAGCAGTAGCAGTAGCAGTAACAACCAGCAGCAGCAGTAACAACAGCAGGAGCAGTAGCATAGCAGCAGTAGCAGCAGTAACAACAGCCAAGCAGCAGTAGCATAGTAGCCCAGCAGCATACACAACAGCGAGCACACGCACAGTAACAACAGCGCAGCAGCTACGAGTAGTAGCAGCGAGCTCAAAGCAGCAGCAGCATCAGTAGCAGTAGTAGCAGTAGCAGCAGCAGCAGTAGCAGTAACAACAGCAGCAGCAGTAGCAGTAGCAGTAACATCAGTAGCAGCAGTAACAACAGCAGCAGCAGTAGCAGTAGCAGTAGCAGTAGCAGTAGCAGTAGCAGTAACAGCAGTAGCAGCAGTGGCAGCAGGAGCAACAGCAGTAGCAGCAGCAATAGCAGCAGTAGCAGCAACAGCAGTAGCAGCAGCAGCAGTAGCAGCAGTAGCAGCAGCAGCAGCAGCAGCAGCAGCAGCAGCAGTAGCAGCAGCAGCTGCCGTAGAATCGTTAATGTTGATGCAAAATTTACGAATCACTACGACGTTGATTGGCAAACAGCGCGGGGTTGCCCATTCTTGCTGCACGAGCTGTAGAAAGAAATTAACCTCGATAATCGAGAGCAGAATATCTCAGCAGAGTCATATTTTGTGATGAATATGCAAATGTTATATGGTTAGGTGGTATCTCAGCAGAGATTTCGGTAATAAATTATTATCAGTAGACCTGTGTTCATAATTAGTAGAGCGCCCTAGCATGTAGGGTGTAAAACTCCTACTTTATCCCCTGTCGGCCTTCCCCTTGACGCCCTTGTTCCTCCCTCAGCCTCCTTGCATACCGCCCCTCTACTATCTTCCCTGCCGCATTTCCCCAGTCTCCCACCCTTTTCTCCCTCCGCTAGCTATATTATGTAGTCGTATTCAGTCCGTACTACGCGCCCGAATCGGTGCTCGCGCATGCGCCATATCTCCCGAGAAGATTAATATTTTGCGAAAGTTATGCATTTAATATGAAGAGGAGGTAATTCGCATGGATTTATATGATAACATTCCATCGATAGACCTGCCTTAAGAAATAGGAAGAAGACCTTGCATGTAAGGTGCGCGCTGCATATACCAGTCAGTACACAAACTGGTTACGTTAGTGTGTTAGCACAAGCGCAAATATCTCACCAGATGAATCATATTTTGTGATGAATATGCATTTAATCTGGTTAGGGGGTATCTCAGCATAGATTTCTGTAATATATTATTAACCGTAGACCTGTGTTTATAATTAGTAGAGCGCCCTAGCCTGTAGGGTGAAAATCTATCATATAATAGCATACTGAATGATATATATTGACGAACCATAACCTCTAACCCTAAACGACGACCTCTAACCCTAGCTATGACCTCTACCCTCCAAACTAGGACCTCTAATCCCAAACTATGACATCTACTGTCTAAACCATGACCTCTAACTATAAACTATGACCTCTAACTCTAAACTATGACCTCTAACCCTAAACTATGTCCTCTAATCCCAAACTCTGACTTCTAATATCTAAACTATGACCTCTAACCCTAAACTATGACATCTAGCCCTAATATATATGACCTCTAAAAAACAATCTCGCCCTCCCCTCCCTCCTCTCTCCCTCCTCCTTCCCTCTCTCCCGCCTTCCTCTTTCCCTCCTCCCTTCCTGTGTCCCTCTCCTCTCTCTCTCCTACACAGTCTATACATGCGCTGTAGGACACGATACAGTTTTAACACAAAACTACAGCCGGAGTTCTTGGCCGTGTCATTGGTAATAATAGTCTAACATAATAGTCTAGCGCGTTCAGAGTTTCAACGGGAACGACGGTGAGGTTTGTGGCTCATCACCGGCGGTGGCGCTGCGAGCGGTGTTCGTATTACACGCTGCGTGACCCCGGGATGCCAACAAACTAGCAGACGCGTTAACAAGCAAGACTGCGCCGATAATGAATGCGAAAAGCAGCAGAATTGTCGTAACAACCGCCATTATCTATTCCTGTTATCACCAAAGAAATATATAGAGACACTATATATAGTATGCTTAGTAAATGGACTAACTAGTACATTATTTCTGCGGTTATTACGCACTTGCAGGAATTGCACGCGGGAAAAATGCAAAAACACATTTCGGAAACAGTGCTGTTTGATAGGAAACAAACGGGACGGGTAATTGTTCATATGTTTTTTTAGATAATCACGTTATAGACAATGTAGCGAGTTAGATGCAAATATATTGTTATATATTACGGCGCGTACGCAACTGCGAACTGTTAATGCGCCCCTGACGTCGCTTTGGCCTAGATATATGCAGGCCTAGCTGCCAAGGGTGTTCAACCAGCTTGCTGGAGGTTCAGTGAGATTTTGCTGGAGAATGAGTCATTTTGGGAATGTAATGCTGGAGGTTCAGAATATTTTCAAATACGACCAGTTTCTGAATATTTGGCTTTAAAATATGTATTTGCAGTACATAATTTCTGTTAGCATTCGAAGAAAGAAGACAAAATTTAATTTTAAGGCATAACAACTTTAAATTCTGAAGTGTTACATACAGTTGCTTTTTTTGCGTGAATGCGTGAGAATGCCTAGGGCATGCGGGAGTGCGGGAGAATGGGTCCAGATGCGTGAGTCTCCCGCGAAATGCGTGAGACTTGGTAGGTCTGCATATGTCCTAGATAGCTAACCAGCTTCATCTTATTGAACCGATGTTTAGTTATATCAGTGTTGTATGTATGTATGTATGTATGTATGTATGTATGTATGTATGTATGTATGTATGTATGTATGTATGTATGTATG